TCCTTCATTAGTATACAATTCCCACGTCCCTTCCCCCCAGCCCCCACCCCGAGTACACTTCTCTATGCAACCTTAATTCTGGATTCCTGTGCTAAATTTTAAGAATTTTTCTATTAGAAAAAGAATTCTGTTACCCTTTAGTTACCAGGTATAGTTTACATAGATGTCACTCTGACTTAATAGCACATTATGATGTTACATCATTGCATAGGAAAACCAGATCATTGACATGGAATCAACACATTGTCCCTGACTAGATCAGTGGTGTGTTGATGTGTAATGCTTGAACTGAGCATTGGCATGACAGGCATACTGCAGTACAGCAGGATTATCTTACACTGTGTGGTAAAATAGTACCCTCTTGAACCACAGTAGTTGTGCTTGATGGGCGGAAAATATATCTGCACTGCTTGACTTTTAAAATTAAAGTAAAATTTAAAATTCTGTTGTTCAGTTCCATTAGCTACACTTCAGTTGCGCATTAACCACTTGCTGACCACGGTATTAGCGCAGTTAAAGAGCTTAATATTCAGTGAATTAGAAAGTCTTTTTTATATTGTTGCTTTGAGTTAAGTAACTTTCAAGATTCTGTTGTCCCTTAAAAGGAATTTTTCTTTATAATCTTCAAGCTGATAATCTTTTTTTCCTTCATTTTTATTCTATTATTTGTTTATAGACTGGATATTTGTGGGTGAATTAGCGCAGGCTTACTCTAACAGTACTGTTGTAGAGAGACCAGGCATAGTGGAGGGCAGATGTATGCATGTCTTCAATAGGTTCCTTCTTGACTCTATTGTCTGCAGAAAAGAGCTGGTGTGGAGTTTGGACTTGAGAGTTCTGGGGCTTGCATGCTTGGCTGTATTATTTACTACATTTAAGATCTTGGAAAATTTTCTTAAGTTCCTAGTGACCTAGTTCCTAATTAGCAAAATGTGATGCCAGTGTTACGTGTTCTGCAGGTATGATTAGAAAATGGATATAGTGGAAGCCTCTGGTGAGTGTGGGCATCTGCGTGTGTTAAGCATTGTGAGGAACCTGACTTTGTTTTCTGTATTTTTTTAAATTAAATTTTATTAATTTTAATGAACATTTACAGAGATTTTGGGTTTCCATTCATTCATTGTTACACTATTTTCTCTACCCCCCCCAGTTCGTTCCTCTTTTTTTCCCTCCCTTGAAAGTCCGTTTTAATTGTCCCATTGCCCCAGTGCTTGTCAAAGCCAGTTCTGATTAATCTCCTTTGTCAATGTGTCCTTTGCCATTCCCTATCACTCCTCTCTGAGAGAGACTTCACCCTGATTCATAAGGAAAAGGGGATGGC